CACTTCGTGATGTCGTAATTTATTACTTTCGAAAAAGCGAGCTTCTTTTCATGACTTAGACTGGATAAAGCAACTTAATACATTGAGCATTAAAAAGTTGATCTCGAGTTACAGCGATTTAGGAGCGACTTCGTATTCCTTGCTACTTACATTTCGTCACGTAGGGTAAACCCGATATATATACGCCGCGTCAGCAAATACGCCGCAGAAGTCAGAAAAAATAGAAGGAGTGGGGATAAATTTCCGTCAATTACTTTGTTACATGCCTTTATGGTATATTAGTATTATGTTATGATTTTAGTTCTTTACTATTAATATTAATGAAATTATTGCGAGTTAAATCGATTTTTTACTGTAATAAGTAGTGCCATCATAATTTATAATCTACATAAAATGATTATTATAGAGCGTGTAAAAGACTTAGTGGTTATTTTGCAATACATATGTGTAGAGGAATAGTAAAGCATGTTGTATAGCAAAATACAAGTGCTTTGCTCCTGTATTGTTTGTTTAATTAGTTGTCATATATATCCCATCTATTTGGGATATACTGCATTATTAGCGAGCGGGATGCTGTGCCGCAGCACAGACGCTCTATTTAAGAAGTTTTTGTTAATTCTAACAATTATACATTGCATTAATGCATAAATGTTGATAAATCTTAAACGTTTAAAGATTATTTTCAAAGATTTGAAGCTATTTTAAAAAATTGTGTTAAGTCCTATTTGTATTCCATTTTTCATTCTGAACAATAAAAATTGTCATATATTAATAAACAATGCAAGTTACGTCGTCATTTTACATCTTATTTATAGATTATTTGTGATTTTCTTATGAATTATATATGAGTGGCCATATTATCCCCCCCCTATGGGATAAATGGCAAAAATGCAGGGGTTTGAAAAAGTTACTTTTTAATATGGAAAATAAATTATTTTAGATTTCTAATATTTTTTTTATAGTAGTAGATGATACAAAGATTCTATTTATATAATTAATTTACTTTAAACATAGTAAATAATAATTGATAAATTAAGTTTTCGATAGGTGCGGCGTATATACCGGGTTTACCCTAATACTTGTCTGATCGTTGTCTTGTAAAGATTATTCGTATTAATAACAGCTCAGCAATTCATGACTATTCCGCGTAACATTCCGGTTTTTGCAATTCGATTTTTTGTACGCACGTTCCTTCGTGCTCAACAACCGTTCACAAAGTTACACGAGAAGAAATGTCCGATAGCGTTCAGCGTAATAACAACGTAATGCAGATATTAAATAATCCATGCCGAACCGCCGTGTCGTTCGAACGATGAACTCAAATAAAGGGATAGCCGATATAGTTGATACAAATGGGTGTTGCGAAATCCAACATTTTGCTCGGTAATCTCACATTCTAATTCACGTATTACACATCACCTTTCTACCTTTCCATACCTTTTCCATGATACATCGTGGTATCGTGCGCTGTCGCGAATGGTTAGATCCTTAAATAAGACGCGGATTCGCATTACATCGTGCCGACGCGGGCATAATGTCCATTTATCACATTTAACTTCTTGACATATTCTCGCGCGGAAGTGAGAAGTGTCATATCGCGAGAAATTCATTTAACGTCCTGCACGCCGCGAATTAATTCTCACATTTCGTGAGGAGGGACGCCGAAATGCCGTTGCTAAATATGCGCTTAAACCTCTTATTGAAAGCATGAGAAATCGATCGGAATATCAGGAATATGTCTTTTTTCTATCGAATCCGTAAACTCTCCAACTCCTAATAAAATAGTAAAAGATTCAACCAAGCTCAACGTCATATCTTCGCCGTTAGGTGTCGGCCCGATGTGTGTGTTTCGTGGGCAGAAATAAAATTTTACATCGCGGAAGTGTCGCTTCGCGCAATGACGATTAATTCTATTCTACGATATCTATCTACGATAAAATCGGCCATTCTCTCGAACAAATCTTGGACTACCTAGCGTTATGCAGTATGCAGTCGAGTATATGCAGACCATAAAATCTCGACATGGTGCGGCGTGGCGCGGCGCGATGTCTGGCTGATGTTCGCGCGAGGTTTTCCGTGAGGATTTGACACGGCGTGAGCAGTCGGCAGTCGGCAGCACATTTTTGCCACTGCAGCGGCTAGACAGCGAATATTCCCCGTTCAGAAATAAGATTCCAGAATGCGGAAACATTGGCATTAAACGCGGCGGTCCGATGTACGTGCTTCGAGAGGCCGATGACGCTTACTATCGCCGACTTCGCTCGTGCCTTCGTGGGAGCGGGCTGTAAAACGAGTAGGAAGCGAATCACTCCGCGAGAATCCTATCCAATTAATTTTTTACGGAAAAATGGAAAAAGACCGATAGCGACCGTTCGTTGCATATATACTCGCGCGGAACTACCGCGTCCGCGAGACAAAACTGCGAGGATATAACGTATATATCTATGCGTGCAAAGATAAAAGACGAGGAGAAAGTCATTCGTTATTATATCCACAGTCTAGCGAGTCCATAATGCTAACGAATGGCTCGATGTTTACATCGGAAAAAATTAGATGATTATTAGGATGCCTCCGTTTCCCGTCGCACTTTGATCTCTCTTCCATCGACGCGCGCGTTATGTGCTATACTCTTTAAATCTTTTACTTCTCTGTAAAAGCGATTAGTACTTTAATATCTTAATAACTTGGGATAACTTTGTTGATTACTCGATTAGGCTGTAAATTACAGATTTTAAGAGTTTCTTTCTATTTTGATTAAGAATCGTGACTTCGACATTCGGGCGGGCAATAGCACGATTGGCACGGTACACGTTGCTGTTTTACAAGACAACGTGAGGTGTTTGTTACCCAGCGTTACTAGTTTCGAGCGAGATCGTGACATGTCAGGAGGATCTCAATGTGAAGTTCGCAACACGATCGAGGGCGAATTCTTGCAGACTTTCACCCAGCCGAAGGACGAGAGATCGGCGTAAACTGCAAGGTATTCACGTGGCTTAATTCTATTGTTACCGATCCGGCCGATCCGGCACATCGACCATCGACGGTATATCCGTCTGACATTTTCGTCTTTCATTTCACGAAGAAGTTGACACGACGCCGTAACCCGGAATTATTCTTACCCGACGACGACGAATACAATCTACGGCCCACTGCGCGTAAATGCAATAGTATTGTTGAAATCGTCGAGTCATACCTTAATGTTTCCGCGATAAGATCGTTCGGGAAAGTAATATGCTGATCTCTCAAAGGAGTTTTTGCGACCCTACGTTGTTATCATTTAAGCCGTTTTCGTCGATTGTGTAAAAAAAAGTCGTGCACTTTCGAGGTATTTAGATCTACGAAAGAGAAGTATGATTATTTTATAGATCTTTAATAATTTCTATCTGTCTCTACCTTTGCTCGGGTTCTTGCTTTCCTCCTTCGTATATTCTGCAATCTTGCTCACGCGGTCTGCTTCGTCATCTCGCGCTGCAACAAATGTGCACGTACTTTTATTTATTGTACACGGTGTGTAACCATTACCGTATCAACCTTTAAGCATAGCACGTTTGTGCGGGAAAGGGTATAACTCTGTTCACTAGCCGTAACTACAATCGTACGAGAAATCACTGTCATTTTGTCGAAATAGCGAAAGTAACAATGTTGCCCGAAGGCGACAAGTGAAGAAAAAAAAAAAAATCAGATTAAAATGAACAATAACTCGTATCTTTAAATCACGCGTATAATACTCTTATGTAAAATAGATTTTTTTAATATGTATACGCTTGCAATTATCAACGGAATCACTCTGTGGATGACATTTCAATTAAGAAAAATTAACGCCGCGGTCGTACGGAGGAGTCCTATGAAAGAGACGTATACAAAGAGGTCACTGATAATGAATCGAGGTAACAGTTTGCCGTCGGCACAGCTGCACCGTTGACTCCAGTTGACTCGCGTTTATTAAACACCAGATACACCGAATTGTGCAACTGCATCAAAATGCGCGAAGTCCCTATAAAGTCCTGAATTATTTCTTTATTTAGTACACTCATCAAAAATGTTGCTGACACGATCTTTATTTCTACAATAATAAATTTCGTATGATAATTATTAATAAATTTGATTATGGCTAATATTATGGCAGGAAACTTTATTATTTTATTTGAGATTTCTTCTATCAGATTTAATCCGCGCATGCACGTTTCGCGTTTGGGTGATCGCATTTGCGAAAAGCAGTCGATCGAATTGAACGGTTAGGGAATGAAGGACTTGACTTTTTTTATATTGTGTCGACGATGTACTGCATTCTTGACTGGTGAACACTCGCGGCGGCAAGCGGATTAGTTGTGTGATTTTAGTTATTTTACGACTTCTCGTATTATGGTTGATTTTTCTTTTGTTCACGTGAACGTATTGTGAGTTTTACGTGAATTGTTTTTGTGGATATCCTAATAAATTTAAAAAATACTGCGCATAACCATTAGTTACTAAATTAGTCATTTTTCAAAATATTCAAAAGTAGAAAACTAGTGAAGTAAAATCTGTGTTATATTTACAATGACCTTTCATTTAATGTGCACTTAGATGTAACTAATTTTGATTTTTGAAAAATCTAGAGTTAAAAGCGTGCAGGCTTTGAATTATTTTATAGATTTCACAATATTTTTTGCAACAATCAATTATTTTACGAACAAATTTAGAAGTATAGGAAGAATATGAGGGGAAGGGAAAAGGCGAGATAGATATAGAAGGAAAGAGAGAAAGGATCATGCAAAGTTCAGCGAGCCCAAGAAGGGCAGATGCACGGAAACGAGTGAGAAAGAAAGAGAGAGAGAGAGAGAGAGAGAGAGAGAGACAGAGACAGAGAGAGGGGTAGAAGGAAGGAAGTAGAAAGAGCAAGAAAGATCGAGAGCTGTAAGGAGCCGAAAGAGAGAAAAGGGAGCAACGAAAAATAAGAAAAGTGGTTCCCCTCTTCGGTCCGAGAGGTTGGGAGCGGGTGGCCTTGAGCAGGTCATCACCTCCGGCTGCGGTGGTGATGCTGCCTGAGCTGGACCATCTTAACTTCTTCTTCTTCTTCTTCTTCTTCTCAACTCCTCGAACCGCCTTCTCTCCTCTCCTCTCCTCGCTAACCTTTTCCTCCTTTCTTCTCCCCACGCTCATCTCTTGCTCCATCCTCGTTCTTTCTCTCTTCCTTGCGTCTCATCCGGCTCGCCAGAGTTACTTTGTCACTCCTTCTCTCTTTCTCCTCTCGCCCTTCTTGTTCTCTCTTTCTCGCTGTAGACGCTCTTTACACTTTCCTAAAGGCCTTCGCTCGGCCGCAGAAACAATCCGTTCGTGCTAACTCTACTTTGACCGGACCGATGTGGTGAATGCCACTAACGTGGTGGTACCGAGAAGTCAAGGGCCAGTCGTACCAAGAAAAGTCCTCAACTTTTTTTTTTCACTTCGAGAAATGCATGAGCCACGGCATACAATTCGATCCAATCTAAACATCCACCTTTACAAAAGAATATCGAACGATGACACAGCGAGAGACGATTTCTCTCGTCCGAAAGCTATATTCCGAGTTACATCGATCGCGTTCAATCCCATTAAATCTATTCTCCTTGAGAAAAAGTCAGTCGTAATATTATATCTGCTTTCATTACTGCACGCGCCACAAGGTCTGCGGTACAAAAACCGTAAATTATCGGGCGTGTTGCCGAGTCAATTCCGTGTCGTTTCCGCGGCGGGGAAGGATCACGCAAATTGCGTTTGACAAACTGGATCGGTGGTAGTTACCGCCTTCTCGCGATCGTAATGATCGGCGCGTGGCTACGTGGTGCACGTAAGGAACCGGACGTCGCACGAGCATCGTTCTGCATCGCGTTGCATCGCGTTGCATCGCGAGATCGCAGAAGCCGGGGGAAGAAATATATTTTCAGACCGCGATCGGATAAAGTTGTAACGCCCGAGGTGGATTTTATAGAACGGTTAATGCGTGTTCTGTACACGCCGTGTCTAGCCAGTGATCGAGAAGCTCGCTAAGTCGTGTTATTTTCTTCGTAGGTGCAACATTCCGACACTCGCTTCTCACGCTCGTCGAAAGTGCAGTCGGCACGCCGCCGCCGCGCCGTCGAGCCGAGCTCTACACAAATTGCCGGGCGTGACGAGGATTTCGTGTCGTTTCCGAGAGAAAGGATCACGCAAATTGGATTTGACACAGTAGATCGGTGGTAGACCCACCCCTTCCAGGATGTAACGATTGGCGCGTGGCAATCCAGCCATATACGCATGTAACGCTCGTGAACGCGAATGTAACGGATTACGCACGTGCATAGATGAACGTTTCATTCGTAGACTGATTGAACCTTGAATTTCGCTTGCTTATTATATTGCAGCGAATAATTACGAGCAACTCGGCTGTCGATAGCATTCTTTTAAAAAGTAGGCTTCGGCTTCTCTCCACTTTTTACGTATATAATAGAAACAATAAATCTCTCATCATTGTAGTTATAACCGGTGGACAGACATTTTAATTCTACTAAATAACTAAAAAAAAGTGTCAAGTCTATATTGTAAATCACATATATGAAAGAAGACACGGATACCTGTCGTTCACAACGGCGTTTTGGTGTTGCCGCCGCGTCGAACGACGAACACGAAGGACCGGATCGTCGAAGTTGGTGTGCGGACTTAAGTGAATGAGGAAGATAAACATAATAATTACGGCAAATTGAGGCCTGCCACTGAAAACAGCATTGTGGCGAACAGAAAGGAGGCGAGAGAAAGAAGCAAACGGTGCGCGGGCCATGGCCGCGACGTGTATCGGTGGAATAAATGCGTTTAGCATACTTGGCTAAGCGGTAGCGTGGGTGAGCAGGAGAGTTTATCTGGAAACGCATTTAGACTTACAACTATCCGTGGATTACACATACGAGCGTTAGAAATATTGTCAATTTATTAACATTGTCCATTAGTAGCTATAATCATTTTTTCTCAGAATATTATTCTCAATAGAAACGCTCAATGGAAAAAGTACTTGCCCAGGAATTTAGTAGTTAATATAGTTAAGAACTATATCTTTTTTTCCACGTTCTCTTTCATGATTTTGAAATAGAAACTGGCAAGTAACCAAATCACTATAACATATATGCTCGATCGGAAGTGCGATGGATATTCGCCGCGTGGGTCGGTAATCTTGGGCGATACCATAAATTGTTCTAATCTCGCGAGCAGTAATAGGCGCTCCATCCTCGTGTTCGCAATGTATTGGTAAGGTGGGAAGACACGTTGCACGTAGTAAAAGAACGCTTGCTCTACCAACTCTTATCGGAGCTTTTAATTTCTTCGCGAACGAGACTATACTCTCACCGTCAAGTTTCATGTTAAGATATCTCATAGGTCTGGATAATTTCTTACGCGCAGTTGGAGGAGCTCTTAATACTTAATGGATTAATTAGTAGACGAAGCCTTAAGTAATATTTTTATTTAAAGACTACATTGAGAAAAATTGAATTGTTGAAAGAATTGACGAATCAGAAGATTCAGATCATATCGATCAAATTTCATCATATTAGGTATAATATTTGGACATCCAGTTATCTTGACTAGAATGAATTGATTGATATAGTGTCACAAATCTTCTGCGGTTCGTCCATCCATTTTCAACCAAAAACTTTTCTCATTGTATAAATATAATTCTTTAAATTATATCCTAATAATGATTTTAAGTATTCTTCTAATGTAAGATATTTTTTGTCGCAGTGCCTATTTTTGCAAAACAAACATTGCGGACACATCGAAAAAAATGTTGCTAAAAATACTGATATTTTCGTATTTGAGAGATATCAGAGCAGTGAATTATTTCTGGATCGCGTTTCAATCTCGCTTTATTTTAGAGGCGATATAACGAATTGAAAGGTGCATCGATTTCGATTAAGTAACGACCTCGACCTAGTGAATTACGTGTTGCATTCGGGAATTTAGCCCCGCGGCTGTGATCAAGCCTTTCGCATACCTACGCCTGCACGGAGCAATGAAGTTTGCTTTCGGTGATCGCGTCCAGGCCGGTTTTGGATGCCGCAATGCCGCGGGCTACTTGCCCTTTTTAGACCCTAAAAAAATGATCTCAAATAAAAATAACCGCGCGACGAAATTGTCGAGAGGATATAGAAACGGCGTTTTATTGCCTGGTCGAGATGTCCTATTTTTAGCAGCACTCTTTTTCGAAAGAGAGGAACGTTGCGGTGTGTCGACAAAGTACATTTTTCAAATTACTTCACTCTGTCTTCTTTTATATCGTTCTGGCATGTGTTTATTTTAGCTAAGTACAGAAACCGCAAACGATGTATCTCATAAGAAGAGCCGCGGTCTCTTCTTCTATGCGCGGCGATCTTCCGCCGTCGCGAATACCTACACGTGTATATCTCGATGCACGCGATGTATAAGGCGCGCTGTTAGTGTAATAATAAACTCTCTTGAACGCCGCGGCATGGCTAACAGAATGTATCTTGCGAGTCACAGTGACTGACTACTTGGCGCCTGCACCGATAAACCAACCCCGGCTCGTACTCGTGCACGATTGTCGGCCGTGCACACGTTTAATACGTACGCTCGCGTACGCTGACACTAGAGACGCGGACGATGAATGAGCTAATTGTGCTTTCTGATGAGCGAGACCCGTCGTCTCTTTTATCTCTTTTCCGCCGTGACTGCGCGCACTTGCCGGCTGTCGCTCGAAAAATCGGGACGCAATATTGTAAGAAAGACGTTTACCTTAAATGATTGCCTTAAATAACAAAAAAAAAAAAATATATATATAATTGACGTTCGTGATATACGTGAAAAACATCGAGATATAGTATAACATTATTCTCCATCTATCTTAATAAACGTATCGTTTCTCTCTCATTTCGAACACACATACAGATGTATTATACAGGATCGTCCATATATAAGAAAGTTTTTAAATAGAAATGTTAAGTTCGGTAGAATGTCCTATTTTCAGAATGATTTCACGTTTTGCGGTCCTATTTGAGCTTACAATTAGGCCTAAACGTGATCTCTGAAAGAAAAACTCGACACATCGACAAATACTTTCAGGCAGGTGTAGTCCATCCGCGACGCCTGCAGCTGCCTCTTATGGAGCCCTTAGCGTGCTTTACCCTTGAGGTTCAGAAAATATCACAGCGTATGCGTAACAGCTGCTGCATTTTTCTGTGGGTGGCGACCAGTGAAAGTGAGTTTTCGAGGTCGACGTCGGATATATAAATTTCATTCTATTTCATCTCTCTTAAGTTGTACACAGCAGTGTGAAAATATTCCATTGTGGTGCTATGAGATTTCAATGAGAGCTAATGTTTCTTTCTATCATATAAGCATTTAAACGTTTAAACGATTATAGAGATAATTACGAAGAGAAAGACATTTTCTTTCACCTTTTGAGGTTTTTTTTAGATTCTTTCAACCGAGAAACATACTCGATCCGGGAGGGAATCTTTTTTTATCTATAACGGGAAACTATCTAGTACGTATTTCATATTCTGTTAAATTGTTTCAATTAATTGCACTCTTTAAATGTGTTACTGACATCGATATATTGTGCCATCAAATACTTTGACGTTGTTATTACGCGACATGAAGATTATTACGGATTTCATAAGACTATACGTATACAATTGGAATTTCGTAAACCAATTTTAATTTAATATGTTTATTTCGCGCATGTTAGATGTGCACTTTTCTATCATAGGTTTTTATTTAAACTATGATTACGTTATTACACACGATTAAACCAAGAATCGATTGCGACTTGATCACGAAATTCGTAAGAAACTACCGCTTGCACCTGGTTGCAGCGAATCGTAATTTAAAATTCGGTTTTGAAATCTGCATGGAAACGACATGTTTAGCCTATTTAAGACAGTCTAATTTACCGCTGACATTAACTGAGATCGTGCCTCGTTTTTTATCGATTCACCAATTGTTACCTCATCGTGCTACGGTCTAATGAACGTTTCAAGTCGAGACGCTTCGCGAATCAACCTGGTTCGATTAGCACCGTAAAATCGGCCTTCCTTCGGCATTAGAACGATTTTCTTGTGTACCCCGCGACAGGAGATACGCTTAGCCAAACTTTTCCGCATCGATTTCCTTCGTGTAACCAATCGAGTATTGTTTGCAAAATAGTGAGAGAAGAGAATTTAGTTTCAAGTTTTCTTCTCTCACTATATATTCTCTAAGTTTCACAATAATACTACCAGCGAGTTCAAAATTAAATTGAATTGGACAAATTTCCATAAATATCTTACCGTTCCGAGAAACAAATATTTTCCTCTCGCTGCGTGGTCGAGTTTCTCTACGGCTTATTGTACTGCTATAGTCCTTTAACTTTGCAGATTGATTATATGTTTCGCACTCCGTTACGGGAGCACATGT